AAAAGCGAACCTTCAGGTTTTCTTCATAAACAGTGCAGCTATTACTCGAGTAAATATGGTATGCGGTGGACTGTACACCACTGTATGAAACAATTTCACCGGTCATGCAGATAGCTCGAATGCATTCGCAAAGTGGTAAGGAGAGACCATAGGAGGCAAGTTTTTTTAACTAGCTACGAATGGCTTACCAGGTCAAATGCTTTTTTGAAATCAAAGTAAATTGCGTCGACCTGCTGCTTCCAACCCTAGTTTGGTACCCACAAATTTCGTAAACAAAAATTTGTTTCCACAGAACAATTTGGCATAAAACCTTGTTGTTGCACGCTTATACGTCTCGAAAAGAAGCGTATAATATGACAATGCATGGCCTTTTCGAACACTTTGGCAAACAAACAAATCGGTGAAATTGGACGATAATTACGAACAGATAGTGCTGATCCCATCTTTGTGTATTGGCCAACTAGTGAAAACGTCCATGCAGTTGGAAAAAGCCTCTTTCAGTGACCGATTAAAAATAAAAGTTAAAATCTGAGCTAACACGTCGTCGCACCCTTTAAAGGAATGCTAAACCGAAATCTGGTTTCCACAAAGCATGGCGGCAAAAGCGTGCAACGGGATGCTACAAACATCAAAACAACACTCATACAACGATATATCAAACGTATGACCGTATTTTTCAAAAAAAGGGGGCACATTTGCAGATATGTTCACGTCTTGTTTCTCCGAGAAGGAGAGAGAACGACCTCGCGTTTTCTCCACTTCGCCGCCTTGAGGGGGCGAAACGAAGAGAGGATGAAACGAGATATCTTGACATCACGTGCCTCGGCGGCCTCGTTTAATCTCGACCTCTTTTTTTCCAAAAATATGGCCGTTGATTCGAGATGCCGCCTTACGAGTAGTGTTGTAGGGATTGTAGCATCCCCCCTACAGCTCCTGCATCGTTTTCTGAAATCCAAATTTCGTCCGCTCCAGCTGATTTCTTAGGTGGCAACGCCCGAATCGCCACAAAAACGTCGTCAGCTGTACTGTTCGTGGGGAACCCACCCCTGGACTGGACACAGTCCTGGGACAGTGCTCTGGCAAATCTGGTTCCACCTCCAGAGAGAGCAACAAAAGTTATACGGCCAACAGAGTTTCCAGACAGTAGTGTTTATGACATGTCATCATTCCTAAAATAGGTATCAAAATTTCGTTTCGAAACCATATGAATTTGGCTCTACCCAGTGGGAATGCAACTCACTGTGAGGCTGACCTTAGGGAAGTATAGAGTCCCATAAGAGCGTTCTCTGCCACGGGAGTGTGCGAGGACGTCCCTTCAATTGGTGCGTGAATACAGAGCCCTAGACATACCCATGCCCCGAGAACCTGTTTAAGGTGAGAGTCAAAACCCTTTCAAATGTTGGGATCCTAATTGCATCTCAGGATCACTGTCTGCATTTTGGGATGGCACGGAAGTCGGGCTCAGACGACATGTTTTCCCGACGGATTCCCACATGAAAAGAACCAACATGCTCACAAAGCTCTGGATGATTTTGATTAGTCTAGCATCAATTGCTCTGCCCTATTTGTCTGCAGACAATACCTGGAAACTGTCGCGAGTGCACGGTCCCAGCAGTCTCCGATGGGTGGAGGCCATGACAGCCTCCTGCCATCGTCAACCCACGTGTGCTCAGGCCTTGCTGGTGTTTCGGCTGCACAAAGTCTGGCCGGTCACATGCTATACAAGTAACATTTAACTGGCGAAATATGCTATAATTTAGTCCTCGAGTGCAAGTAGGCCGCACTAGAAAGCACAGACTCATGACTGTTGTCCATATGTTTCAACAGACTTTCGCGTTCGCGTAGCGTGTAAAAGGTGAGTGACGAGGCCGTGTAGAAACAATACTTTTCTAAATTGGAGAGCATCTTGGTTTTTTGCACCAAGGGCTGGGCAGTGCATTGGTACAAATGTATTGCGATAGTATCTTGGAGATACTTCCGAGTATCTTCAGCAGCGAACTACATTTGCGATGTATCGCATGCAATTGCGTTACCGTCGGTTTTCTATGATAAACTAAGACCACCTTTTTGGTGCAAGGGGCCCCAGAATTTGTAATATGCACCCTGCGAAAGACTCTCGGGCATATCCTGTTACATAAGAGGCAAATGTATCTCGGTATCTGTACCTTGGCCCTAAAATAGTTGTATCTCGGTACCATATTTTCCGAATTATAGTCTGCAGGCTATACAAGGATTTGTTTTTCTAGATTGTTCAGTGACAAGACGTGAAGGATTTTATTAATAACAGAGTATAATAATGTTGATTAATGTATGATACAAGCTTCTTTGTGAAGATGTGCTGTGCATGATAATTTTTGCGTTCAGACTAGGCACTAAGTGCAGACTACCGTAAAATTCCGAGATGCCCCACCCCCGAAAGATAGCCCACCCCTATTTTTAGCTTGATTTGCTTCTTTTTTTTTTTTTTTTTAAACACCGAAAGATACTTTTGGACTCCCAGTAATAGTAGTATTGGGGTCAATGACGACCTCGGCGTAAAAGCGGCTAGTTCGCTATGGCGAAATATAAGCGAACGTTGCTATCTGCGAAGTACAGTTATCTTTGCTTCGTTGTCCTTCGCCGTCATAACAAGCTTGAAAGGAACATGACCTAAAAATAGTATTGTTTTAAAATTTTCTTCATTGTACACCGAAAGTTAGGCCAATCCATATTTTTACCTGATTTGCTCTTGATGTTAGGTGGGTTATCTCTCAGGATTTTATGGTAGGTAAGCATGACGGGCACGAATTATCTAAGCAAAAACTTTTACTTTTGACCACAAAGTTGTTCCTGCAGACTATGCGCCTGGTGCAGACTTTAGACCGGAACATATAGTATTTGAATTCCGGAATACTTTTAATGCAATAGGGTTAAGGAGCTCATGTCGTGAAACGCCGGCATCGGCATTCGCGGGGTCATGATGAGAAAATCCTGATTGGTCGATATGTCATGATGTCACAGCCACATGACCAAGCGTGGGAATTTCAAACAATCCACAACGCTCAAGTAAAACGTGACGTCACGTGGAACTCACGTGTGAATTAAATGTCGCTACACGCCTCAAATGATTTCACTTTATAAGGTAACTCATTCACCTTAAAAAGAAAATTTGAAGAATTTTAGGCAGAATTTGAATCCACGACCCTTCGGTTGCGAGCCAGACCAGCCAGACACGCTATTAACTAGGGCATGTCCGCCGCACTTCCTGCTCACTGGCAGGAAGAGCAGAAGCGAATGAGAAAACAATGCTAATGGGGACCGGTAATGCTGTCGTGTTCCACTTTTTTTTGGGTATCTCTGCCCAGCCCTGCCTTGTGCATTGCCGGGAGTACTTAGGAACGTTGGAGAGGAGAGGAGGTTCCTCTCCTCCTCCCCTGCCTTCTTGGTGCTCACCCTTTCTCCCCTCGCCTGGTGTTGCCTTCACCTGTACTGCACTCAACTAGTGACACGGAGTACAAAGTGCAGATTTGTTAACTTTCAAACACATTTATCTGTTTTACTTTTTGGCCTCGAACCTCATTCAGGAAAAATAATGAATCGATGAGTGGACCCAGTTTTTGAAGTTTCTTCACTAATATTTTGTAAGGAATGCAGCTGTGAGCTTATAATCTGCATTTTTATGGTCTTTTGTTATACAAAGCTGCAGTATCTTCAACCCAATGCACAAGACTTTTTCACATTTTTCTTTATTAGACACAATACGATTTCTGCCGTTTCTTTTCATAGTCACGTGACACGGGTATTATACTGTACGTTTCATCAAAAGAACTGGTCACTATACTGTGACATTTTTTAAACAATAGTTTGCTCAGAGGATGCAGTGTTTATTTTATGTACTTTTACATAAGGACTATAAACTTCTAAACTTTGCATGTTTTCTTTCCCAGCTATGAATATGCGCTGCATATTTCATACAAATAAGACTAATGGGTAAAAAGTTTGCCTCCCTGAGTAGTGTTCTTTCTTAACGAATGAGCTCAAATTCAAACTCCTAAATGTTAAATCTCAGATGTGTAAGGAAAGGCTGTGCCTTGACAACTTTTATTTCATACTTTGTCCAGTGAAACTATTTGAAATGAAATAAAAAATGGGCAAAAAGTTTATTATGTCCATGAAGACGTGGGCAAGCTTGAGAGCACACTACACTTACCACAGCCTTGACTGCAGGCTATCTAAATATCAGTGTCCAAAGTGTCATAAAAATGAATGACATTTCTAGGATCAATAGGGAAGTTGAGTAACTTTAAACTTTTTGCCTAAACAGACACCACAACATTAGCAGGTAATTTGCTTTAGTGTTTCAACTGTTTCCTATCTATGCTATAAGTGCTGTTCTTTCTTTTTGTGTTCCTTGGACATATAGCTTCTAAGTAGGTTTCAGTCAAGGGAGGTTTTCTAAACACTCCTCACATCCGTCGTATTGTACCAATTAACGCCTTTAAGATATTTAGTCCAGATTAAAAATGAGTCTCATTTTAAACAAGCTCACTAAACTTGATATGTCTGGCGATATTCAGACGTAAAAGGAATAAAACAAAACACTAAAGAATGCCTCTGCACTCAAGTCTGAAGCATGACTGACTGCAACCTATGGCGACATGACATTTATAGTTCTGAGCAGCACATCACCATGGCATTCAGCAAATCCTGGTTCAGAGTGTTTGCTTTGTGGTGCCATGCCATTCAGCATTGAGGTCATGAGTGCATTCTTCTCAAGCTACCCTGAGCAGAAAATGTCTGGCAGATATTAAATTGTTGTGGTCAGCACAGATATATTCAGACTAAATAAAGGAACCTCGAAACCACCTGCTTTTTGCAAACAACCACTTTGTAGGACTACCAAAGAAAAGATAAGGTTGCACCAAAGTTGATCTTGAAGGAAACCCCTCAGCAAATGAACTGATATCGAAAAAAAAAAAAAAAAGTCCTAAATTTTTATTGAGAAGACAGAACACGAGCACTTCTCAAAAACAGTTTATTAAATTGATATGCAAAAAAACTTGCACTAGGCAATATTCAATGCATGTCAGCATATCTTAAATAATAAAAATCTAGCTGCATGTGGACTAACCTGGGACAGGTACCAAAACGAGTCCCGCTAAGTCGAGATGCTTTCTAGGGCTTGTGGTGAAAACTGGAAGGCCAAACAAAACTGAACACCGCGCAAAGTGTGAAGGAGTTTATTTGGCTCGTGAAAATCTGACCTTCTGCACAACTGCAACACACAACTGCACCTACTTCGTTCAAGCTCTCGGATGCGTGTGCATCAACCTGCTAGTATCTAAGAATGGGGAGGAGGCTTGTACTTACTGTGCTGAGCTGACAGTTTGCATACTCGTAAAACAATAATTATAATTAAAAAGGAAAACAACAAGGTGTCGCTTCCTAGCTTTGCAACTACTGTTCTGAATTTTAACAGACCACGCAAAACTCAAACAAGCCACGCTGGACCCATACTGCCTTCAACCTCGATTCGAAATTTGGACTGCAGCATTTGTCCCAGTGACTAAAAAATCGCACACGAGGGAAGCACAGGCATCATGGGGAAGGGGGGGGGGGGGGCCTATATCTACTACATATTTTTTTTTCTTTTTAAATATATATATATATGTATATATATATATATTACAACTATGATATAAATCTAGACTGCCTCCATTTCATATAGTACACACAACAGTTCGTCACCCTCCAAAAAGACCCTCAATTTTTTTCCTTTATCACACCAAACATAAAACAAGGAACACACGGGGTAGCCACTATACCTCTCGTAAATAAACAATGGGTGGATTTCCTTTCAAAATAAATAGACCTACTACTTTAAAGCGGCCAAAATAAATAGCACTAGGTGCAGCGCTCGGGGTCCATCCGCCTGTGCGGTGGTCCGGGGGCAGCTATCACTGGGAATGGAGGATCATCTTCTGCTTCCGAAGCAGGCGGAGACACGGGGGTGGAGAAATGCGCACGACCAGACACACAGGATGGGGGCAGGCCAGGGACGGCTAAGATCTTTCCGAGTGGGAACCAGTGTCCAGCTGTTCAAAGGCACACAGCGGGCCTACACACACAAAAAAAGGCCCATAGGGAGCAATGTCCGTGGGGGCTCACTCCTGGTCCGAGTCGCCATCGCTCGAGTAGCCTCCCTGGGCGTCTGTGAGCCGATGATGTGGCGACAGCTTGCGATAGGCGTCCAGCCACTGGTCCACCATCTGCAGCACCAAGTGAGGCCGGCGGGGAACCTTCTGCTGAGCCACCAGCAGCCCCCCCTTTGTGACGCAGCAGTCCAGCCACTGACGGATTATCTCTTCTTCACGCCCCACCTGCAACATTTTGCTTTGTGTTACGTTCCTTCGCCTGGAGTGCTCACGCTCATAACTGCAGCTCGTGTGTTGTCCCTAGTCCACAACTGGAAACGCTGTCCGAGACAACTCCATTCGTTAAATTTATTGTCAGGATGGAACGGTCTGTTGTGTGCAGACTCCGCACGTTTCTTGGTCCAACCTTGTTAAAAATCAAAGATTAAGTCGTCGACAGAATAGGCTACAAGTGTACCATGCATCCTGATGTTTTAATAAGGCAGGACGACTATTACTTAAGTATTTAATAACAGAAAATTTGTTCTACAGTTGCCAACCATTTTTTTAGACTCCAATAATTCTGACTTGTTCGATATTTCGGACGTAAAGGAGGAACTGTGACTTACTCCATAGAAATAGTGCATATTCACGACCAGTATTTCGGACAGCTTGAAGTTTGAAAGTTTGATTATTTGGACAAAATCGTTGCGAGCGATCAGCGGGAAACACTACCGAGAAGTGGCCATTTTGAATTCCATGTTGGCTGCAAATGGACTGGCTTGGTTTGGCAGCGCTATTTGAGTACTCTCGAGTCCTACCGCTAGGTGACGCTATGCTAGCCCTTTTTTTCCATTTAGTTGCACGTCATCATTATCATTTTGCTTTGTTTCATTCCCATCCCTTCGCACCTCCGCCCCACTTCCGCGTCGCCAGTCGTCATTTTGCGCTCCTGGATTTGCGCCTCTCATCTCGTTCAGACAACGCTGGCTTGGACGTCGTGGCCCCATCTGTTCCTTTGCCGCCGCGTTGTGTCGTTAAGAAGCACAGAAAGTACTCGACCATAACGCTAGAAAAGAAGGCAGCGATTCTCAAGCCAACAGAAAGTTGCCGAACGCAAACGGAGGCGTAACCTCAAACAAGGCACGCAGGCGTAACCTGAAGCAAGCCACTATTTACGGCTTTTTTAAGCCCACTTTGAAGTAATAAAGGCTGCTGATTTTTCGGACTGCTCTCTTATTCGGCCTTCTTTCGGTCCCTGCAAAGTTAGAATAATCGGTCGGCAACTGTACATGAAAACCAAACTACATAGTAATAATAATATTATTATAATATTGTATATCCTTATGTGCCCAAAAACAACCACGCGGGTCTTCACATTGGTGCACACAAAAAGATAAAAAGAAACACAACACATGCACAGCATCAAATATACAAATTAACATGGTTACAAATAGAGGGCACACTTCATAAAAAATGTACTAGAGTTTCAACTTTTAACTAGACTCTCCAAGTCCAGGCGAAAAACTAAGGTATCCGTGAAAATGTCCAAGCTAGAGGATGCGATTTTATTAAATGAAGTTTGCATATGGGACAGTGGTGAGAGTTTAGACATGGACAGTGATGTGATTGGCCTAAGCTATTTCGGAGCAGCCAAAACAGTTTTGCATAAGTAAAAGTGGCTTTTTTTAGCAACCAAGAGAGTGTTTCGGAGCAGCAAAAGTGGCTTTTGGCGCAGATATATTCATTTTAAGTGCTCTACAAACGAAGGACACTTGGTGTTGTGTTGTATTATGTTCTTATGTGACGTGTTGTGACGGAACTCGCTGCTTTTGTTTTTACTGCTGAGACATCCCACAAGTGTACAGTGCAGTAGGCATTGCCGAGCAATTCCGAAAAACCACTTGCCACCGTTTTACTGGTTCCAGACGTGCTAGATTTCGTCAAAAGTAAGGAAATGTAAAACAATAGATTGCAAGCATCCCGGTTGGTGTCTCTGTCATGCAATCATGTTCACATGCATGCGAGGGCAACTTCAACAGGCTTGCAGTTGCGCGTGCTTCGTCGCACGGGAGGAGACAACTTTGCAGGGACCGAACAGTTCGCAACGGACACACTTTGCTCCGTTGCGAACTGATTCCCAAAATTTTAAGCAAAATATAACTGTCGAGCATACGACAAGTCAGTCCAGTGGTGCGTGGTTGCCAGGCCAGCAAACAAAATACAAGCTAAACACACAAAAAAAATAAATAAAGAGCCGGAGCGCATCGATGCAAGACATTGCGAGCCAGGGTCAAAAAAGTTCTTGGAGCGCTTTGTGCAACGACTGAACTCGAGACAAACAAGCATGCTGTGTGGGTTCAGCGTGCAGACATTGCCTTCTTTCCTTTAGCTCACTTCTCTTCACCAACTTTCTTTCGCGGCAGATTTTTCATTTACCGGGGTCTCTCTCGAAAATAAGCTCACCGAGAAAAACCTGGGTAATCAATACTTCGACACAGCAGTCTGAGTTAAAGATGGATTTTTGTAGTAACATACAATTTAAACAAGACCAGGATTGATGAACATGCAGCGGTACTTGGTTTCACTTTAAGCGCCATATCTGCAGCGGCGTGGGGACGGCAACACCCAACGTTGCGCGACCACGGTGACTGGAAGGCAGGGACCAAATGTAGTTCTCCCACGGCCGTTGCTTTCAGGAGCGAGTGCTTCAGCTTGCAAAGTAGCTGCCGCCGCGCAAAATTGTGGTTTCATCTCTTGGCATGACGGCATGGCTGGTACCCAGCACACTAGCCGAGCGTCCACACACACCCGCATCTATCGGGCCACTTGAGCCACGAACACACGTTTGCTCAATTACGGTACTCAATTTATTTTTGGTTTTGAAAGGCGTCCAAAATTGGTTTTTTGGCACAGATTACATATATTTTGGCAAAATGTAGCAGGGTGTAGCAGGGTTAGCCCCTTGGCGCAATTGGCGCAGCAATCACATCACTGTACAATGTGCGATTAACGAGTTGAGGAGGAAAGCTAAAAAGCAAAAAGTTGGAAAATCGTTTCATGACACCTTTAAAGGGACACTGACAGGGTATTTATGCTCGCCGAGGTTTTTAGTTGTACGTGACATATGAGAGCTCAACTACCCAGAACAGAATTTGCGGCTCGAAATTCGGTTTCTTTCCGCCCGAAAACCGCCAATCAAGAACTGGCCGGTTCGAGTCTCGCTCACCCTCTTTTTCGAGGTCACGGGCCGTTTTCTAAGGTATCGATGCGACCACCAAATTTAATCAAAGTCGTGGCTCACTGAAGGCACACACTCAATATTAAAAATAGAAAAAAATATGAAACCCATTTTTTGTGGCTTCTAAAAAGCTGTAAATACGTTGATTGAAAAAAAAAAGTTCCACAGACAACCGGAAGCATTCTGTGTGTTCGTCGTTTCGCGTATCGTGGGACTTGCGGGGACGGCGATGGCAGCGGGCGACGGGCGTGGGACCTCTATTTCAGAACTGTCGTTCGTGGTACCGGCGAATTCTGTCTACCTTTAAAAGAGAAGTTTGGGACTGATCAAAAGAATTGGTATTTATCCCGTACGACACGCCCGGCCACCAAGCCGATTTGCACGAAGACGTCGCCGAGCCGTCGCTCCCTTCTCGTGGCTGAAGACATCGCTCGCGCAAACGTCAAGCACGTGTCTACTTCGAGTTGAATATGCACGCGTACGATTTCTTTACTAGGTGCGAATGTCCCCAAAGCGTGGTGATTCCCGACTTCTACCCGGGAGTGCTTTTGCTAGAGAAAAATCGACAGCAAACTTTCCAACTTACAGTTTACCGACTGAATTATTACAAAGGAAAGAGATCCACCAAAAAAACATCCCCCAGTAGCGCAGTGGGAAAGACGTTCGGTTCACACGCGGTAGGACCGGGTTCGATCCCCCGTGAAACTTTTTTTTTTCAAACATTTCCCGATGTTTACATATCTCCCGACCCCGTCGGGTTTCCCGACTGAAACCGAAACCCGACCTCCGTCGGGTTTTGGTTTCGGTTTCGAGCAGTTGCGTCTTTCAGCTTTATTAAAAAAATATGCTACTCTGTTGCAAAATATTAATTGGGTAGTCCTCCGACACCATAATGAAGCCCCTGGCAAAAAATGAAAAAAAAAACTTTGGGGGGTGTCAGTGTCCCTTTAAAGGGGGGGGTGCAACGATTTCCGGACTTCGGTCAAAGATTTCTGAAAGTTGCTCTCTGACACTTCTGAAATAAAGAACAGAAAACCGATTTCACCTAAGTGTCCTAGTTGTTGCGTAAAAAAAAGATAAATATTGGCATTTCAGGCACCCCTCAACTCACTCCCAGACTTCAGGGTCACACCTGGTCCCCCTCCTAGTGACGTCATTCGGAGTGCCGTGTAGGTTCCCGTGTGCTATCTCGGAGGACGCTTCCTCTTCCTCTCTCTGCTGACATTAGCAGGCGTTAGGCTGCAGCTTAGAGCCGACCGAGGTCACGTAATCCTTTCGCCGTAGTTCCTTCGGCTGCCACTTGGGGCTGCAGGTGGGGGAAAAAGCTCGACTTTTGCTTTGCGATTATGCAACGGAATCGCGGCCTTTTTAATGAAGGAGGTGTTTTCTCTATCCTCCGGGACACGATAAACAACGTAAAAATAACAAGATGCAAATTCTTTTAATCATAAAATCGTTGCACCGCCCCTTTAAGGTTGGTCTGAGCGATGTGGAGAGGGGGGGAGCAAAGAGCTTGTCTTTCTGTAAGGAAGTTCGACTGACATAGCAGCAACAAGGTAAAGCTCAAAGGAAAAAAGTTTTTTTTTTTTTTTTTAGGGTCTAGCTTTGTTCGTCGTCCGGCCGGCCGGCATCCATACTCACATAAAAAGAAAAAAAGTTTGAACAGTCGACAGGATTCGAACCTGTGCTGGGAGACTCCAATGGATTTCTAGTCCATCGCCTGAACCCCTCGGCCACGACTGCGGGACAAGGAGGGGGCTCTGAGATGTGGTAGTAACTCAAGAGCTGGGGATGTCATGGATGAAACGTTACATGTAGCCGCTCAACGTCTATACAGGAGAGGGCGCTGCGGTCAAATGCGTATATAATAGCGTTAAACTTTGCATGCATTGGCTTAACGTTTATAGACGAGAGGGTGCTGCGGTCAAATGCTCAAATGCGTATATATCCACGTTCCATATCACACATTCTTTTTCTGACATGGACCGTTGACTTAAGCGGTGGA